TCCAAGAGTGCGGACCTTGGCAGTAGCAGATTTCAAGGTCTAGGGGTTTAGGGTTTACGAGGGTTGGGGGGTTGGGCTTCTAATTTGAATGCTTGTGAATACTAGTAAGGGCTTGAGGTGCAGGATTGTTTTGTTGCCTCAAGTCGTTTAATTGAGCAGTTAAGGGCTTGTAAACAGGATTGTTTTTTATGCACATGCTATTGAGCTGCAGGCAGGGTTGTGCTTAACCGCTTTTAGGGTCCAGACGGCCCCGGGTTCGTGTCAACCCGAAGCAACAGACGGCTAATGCCCAAAAGCCGCAGAAGCCCCGGATTCTGCAAACTTCGAAGTGTACTGCCATCAATACAAACCTCCAGACCTTCCGTACCCGAGAAAGCACAAAGGACATGCCTGTCCGCACAAAGCAGCAGCAACAACAGGTAACAAGGCAAAACAGCTTCAGTTGGGGGATGCACTGGCAATGCACTGGGATCCTGCAGGCAATTTGCAGTATAATTTGCCTAGGCCTTCGAAACCCTGAGCCAGAAACCCTTTATCCTACACCCTAATCGCTAAACCCTATAGTACCCTCACAGATCCCTTATCGGAGTCAATTATAGTTCCCTTAAACCCTAAACTCCAAACCTAGTTCCCTTAGAGGAACCCTCAACCCTTCAATCCTGGTTGATTTCGCTGAGGTGCCGGAAGCTTCGAATTGAGTGTCGCCTGAACATCGCTGCTTGTGGCATCAAGCTGCAGGCCTCGAATCGAGGGGTTTAGGGTTCAGGGTTGAGGGTTCAGGGTTTACTTTGCGGTTTAGAGTTTAAGGTCACGGGGGTTTTGGGTTTAGGGTTTGGAGTATGTATTTATGAACCCCAAGAGTATGTAAAATAACAGCGCTTTATACAGCTCACCATAGGTCTGGGGCCATTCTTCTACTTGCCGTTTGGAGGGTGTAGGTATCAGGCTAAGGTGCAGACTTGTAACTGTTGGGTTTGAGGGCATAGGCTTTGAGGTAAAATGGTGGGAAAGGAAGGATGCTTGAAAGCTACTGCTTAATAAAGTTTCGCATTCAGTGCTTAAGCACCGGGAACTTGCTTTGATGAACACGGCATACTAAAGTAGCTGATAGCCCCAGATGGTGTCATTCGTTGGCTTACTTAGTTATCATTCCCTAAACCCTGAGGCCTATTTGCCCTAAACCTTGACCGATAACTTAGAATCCACTATAACTCGGCGTAGCCTTCAGGCAGGACTCATTCGTTGCGGTTCACTGCTATAAGGCTAGGCCCTACAGGGTTTAGGGTTTTGATTTTGGATTTACGTTTTAGGGTGGAGGTTTAGTGTTCATAAGGCTCCATGTGCCGTTATAGTAGATATGCCTAAGTATATACTATATGGTTACATGGAGCCTTAGGGAATTCGGTTTCAGAGCGTTCAGGGCTTGGCGTGCGGGAGCTTTGAGCATCTACGAATCTAAGGATGCACATTGATCTCCCGAACCTAAGTTCAGATTCTCGAACTGTCGCATTTTGCTTACGTTGAATATCAGTTCAAGTTGTTCCGCGTTCCACTGCGCGGATTATGGGTTTGAAGACCCTAAACTTACATCCTGGGGAAACCCTTAACCCCTGAACTCCTACACCTTCCCAAGCCCTAGAGACCTTAAACTCTTAAACTTGAGCCCTAAACCCTACGTGAAGCTTCCTAAACCCTAAACCCTAAAAGCCTTAAACCCCTTACAGTAGAAGCCCAAAAGTTGGAAACCAAATAGCTTCAATCCTTATAAGAGTAATGTAGAGGGAATCCCAGCGCTATTTGGCCTTAATCCGGTTTCCAACTTTTTGGGGCTTACAATATAGATCCCCCTATGGTAACCCTTTTTAGACCCCTTTAAAAGGAACCCTAGGAACCCTAAAATAGTCCCCTTTAAAGGAACTAGACCCTGGCCAGGATCCGCGTGCTGCATGGGCCTCAGCCCGCTTTGGATCGTAGACCCCAGGCCCGACTTAGAGGATCCTTAAAAGGGATCTATAGGGTTCCTGAAAAGGGATCTATAAGGGTTCCTTATAATGGGAGCTATAGGGTTCCTTATGATGGGATCTATAGGAGGGTTCCTTATAATGGGATCTATAGGGTTTAGGGTCTACTTAGAGATGGGACTTAGTAACTACGGTCATAATTCTATAATAACGTTGCTATACTTGTAATTACTTAGAACCCCACTTTGGGTACTTATAACCATACATACTAAGTCCCATGATCCTTCATGTGCGCTAAGGGTTTCTTTAAGGGTTCCCTTTAAGGGTTCCATAAGGGCTCTATAGGATTTAGGGTTTAAGGGTCCATGTACCCCTCTGGCACATACTTAGGCTCTTAAGGGGGTTCCTGCGCAGGTACTGCAAGGCCTACCCTCAAAGGAACCCTATAGGTGTTTGGGCCTAAACCCCGGGGATCAGGGGTAGTGCTGGGTTTCATCGCATTTAGGGGTTAGGGGTTTAGGGGCCGCCATCAAAGGCAGTAGGAATCAGCTTTTGCATTCTAGGGTTGAGGATCCCAGAGGGATTGGCGGTTTCGGGTTTAGGGTTGGTAGTCTCGTAAGCAACATCATGTGAACCCTAAATCCCTAAATTGCTTTCCAGCTTGGCGGATGTGTGTGCCCTAGGCCAAAGAAGCATGCCAGCTGGTTTTGCAACAGATGCCGGAGAATACCAAGGCCAGGTGCTTGTACACTGCTCTCGATGTAGGCATGTTTCTGCTTGCAAGCTCTTTCAAGCTTCTGTTGCTGAAAAATAGTCCTATATAAGCCGAACCGTATTCCTCCAAAACCAACTTTTTTCGGGTTCCTTACCTGGCTTTTAAGTGGTTTATTCAGTTATTTATCTACATATTTAACTCCTTAATGATACGTTAGAAGGGGCCCCCGCCCTCTAATAGTGGTATAATAAGAACATAATAGGGCCTTAATATAATCCGGTTACGGGGTCGAAGTCGACCGCTGCGTTTTGCATATTTTAGGAATATGCTGAACCTATAATCCTTATAGTCACTATTTCAGGGTGGGGGGGCCCCTTCTAAATGATAGGTTGTCCAGGGGCCAGGAAAGCCCAATTTCAGGGTCCTTGGTGCTTGAGGGCTTCAGCTCTGGGCTTCGGAGGGTTTAGGGTTTATAGCGTTTAGGGTTTAGGGCTTATAGGGTTCAGGGTTTAGGGTTTAGGGCTTATAGGGTTTAGGGCTTATAGGGTTTAGGGTTTAGGGTATAGGGTTTAGGGTTTAGGGTTTAGGGTTCAGGGTTTAGGGTTTAGGGTGTAGGGTATGGTGCTTGGAGTCTCATGTTGCGTACCTTTGTAATTGTATATAGGTGGGTCTACCAGGACCCCCCCAATGGCCCTTTAATGGAGCCCTAATGGCCCTTAATAGTAGGTATTTTGGTGTATCTTAGAGGGTAGTTGGGGGGTCTAGGTAGGGTTTAGGAGTTAGGGTTTAGGGCTTAGGGCCCTTATTATGACCCCTGGGTAAAATGGACTGTTACAGGGTGGGTGGGGGCTGTGCCTAATTGATGCCCGAAATCCTAAACATCAAAGCCTAAACGTTGAGCGAGCCTCAGCCAGTTCAAGCACACAGCTCCAAGCACAAAACGGAGCTCAGGGTTTAGGGTAATCCTGCACCCGAAAGCCCTGAACCCTAAGTCCTTAAACCCCGCAACCCCAAATCCCTGAAAACCCTGAAACCGAAACCCCTAAACCCCAAACCCTAAACCCTATACCCCTCGACCCCCCAACCCCTGAAAGCCCTAAAGCCTGAACCCCTGAACCCCAAACCCTAAACCCTTACACTCCTGAACCTGCAAACCCCCCCAAACGCTAACCCTCTAAACCCTGAAAATCGTGAACGGAGGCTTTCTACCGGCTTGCCCAAGCGCACCTCCAGGAGCGAGACTTCGACCAGGAACCGGCCTGCATAACGTTTGCGGTTTTACCTATAGTCTCCATTGTAGCTCCTTTTTTTGGTAAACCAAAATCCCTATTCTAGGATCCCAACCATAAAAATGGTTAACCAAAAAAAGGAACTACAATGGAGAGTCTAGGTAGGGTCTGGTTTAGGGTTTAGTGTTTCGGGCGTAGGCTTGGGGTTTAGAATTTAGAGTTTAGTACCTCTTTGAGGGTTTAGAGTTTTAGTGTTTGGGATTTGGGGTTTGGAATTTACGGTTTAGGGCTGAGGGGTTTGGGATATTCAGAGTTTAGGGTTTGGTGTTTCAGGGTTTTAGTGATTGGGCTTTAGGGTTTAGGGTTCCCAGGTTTAGAGGTGCATCGACTCGGACTCGTTTGTTTTTTTGTAGGCGTTTCCGGATGATTCTAGCCTTCTTTCGCAGGTAGTCTTATATGTGATTCTGCTAGTGACTAGTGACGTCGTTGGCGTGAATTTTGTTCCCACTTTTCAAAGCTCGTAGCTATGACGGTTGCTAATGACTTCTGCTATAGATAATGATTATTCCTATGATGATTATGAACATCGTCGCTAGTGTTGTTTACGTGGTTAAGACGAGTGGCATCTGGTCCGATAGGCCTTGTCCTTACAGGGCTGAACAACGGGGATTCACGGGGCTTCACAGGATTTTGTTCGGTTTGGGACTTGGTGCTTGAGAGAGTGTAAGATCTGGGAATTAGGGTTTAGGGGTTAGGGTTTTTGGGTTTAGGGTTCAGGGTTTAGGGTTTAGGGTTTAGGATTTAGGGTTTAGGGTTTAGGGTTTAGGGGTTAGGGTTGTATTGCACTAGAAACCCCAAAACCTCAAGCTCTAAACCTCATCCCCCCTGAATTTCCAGGCTTGTCCCGCCGAGGCCTCAAAGTTGGGTCGACGAAAGAGACTTCATTCGCAGAATCTGTGTGCTTGCCGCAAGCCCTAAACTCCAAACCTTAAACCCGAAACCTGAAACCATGAACCGTATCAACTGACAGTTTAGAGACACTCAAAATGAGCCTTCACAAACTTGCATGCAAAAGGGGCACCGCCATGCGTCGCCATGGCACCGTCACAACTCTGCCGCTTGCGCAGACATGCTCGCCAGTATCACCGGCATGCGCACAAGTCGGTGGTGTTGCTGGGCTTCGTTGGAGGGTCGCTGACGTTCGAACATTTACCGTTTTGCAATTGTGGGCCTTCGGAACACTTGCAGCTTATTGTATGATGTACTGCTAGTGAGAAAGGTCTTCTGCTGCTAGATACCAGCAACAGCAGCACCATCACCGCTGTCGCCGCCGCGCAATGGCCACTGCCACCACCCCAACCACCACCATAACCAGCAGCACCAGCACCAGCACCGCCACCAGGATTCCGACAACGGATACAAGTCGTAGTGATAGTGATAATCGTTTATTGCAAGCAATCTCAATATTCTTCGTCGTCGCTTCAGTGGTAGGGGTCGTCGGTAGTGGTCGTGGTAGTGGCAGCAGTGGCAGCAGCAGTAGCAGTAGCAGTAGCAGCAGCAGGAGTGGCAGTAGAAGTAGAAGTAAAGTGGACCCAGATCAGGATCAGCAGGTACTCGCAGAAAGCTGACCACTTCGACCAAGAAGCATTGCGGAGGCACGCTGCCCATGTGGCATCTTGGATCGCCTACGGCCCCAAGGCTCGGATTCCGACAGTGAAGGAGTTCAAGCTCCTGAAGAAGTTCATGGACATAATGGACGGTGTGATGCTGCCTTCTCGACTGAGTGATGTGCTATCGGACATGCAAACCGTACTCCGAGTTCTCCCAAGGCCGGCCAATGATGCGTGGCTTAAGGCAGAACATCAGCTTGAAAGGAGTCTTCGAAAGTTGCGCCACCGGTGCAACGAAACAAAGGCCGCCAAAGATGCGATGGCTCCAGATAATGATACTTAGTAGCTAAGTGGATACACTTTACACTTTTTTGGGAGAATATTACCTACTACCCTGGGGATCAAAATAGCCGAAAAGCCTTATATAGTCTGGTCTTTGGGCCCAAATGCCTTAATCTATGAGTCCTTAGATCCCTAGGGCTATAAAAGTGAAAGTGAGCACTTTTGGGGGCCTATGAACTCAGCAACTAAGGATGCTGTTGATGCAGACCTGGAAGCCGAGTTAGGCAAAGCCTTGCAAGTTCGGACAGCGGAAGATTTGGGAGTTTCCGAAAATAGGGGTACCTTATTTTGGGGTCCTTATAATAAGGATCCTACTATTCAGGGTACCATATTAGGGTCCCCTATTTTCGGAAACTCCCATTTGGCATTTGAAGGCGCTTCTGCCCGGTCTGACCAGCACTTGACATTGTTCAGAAAGATGAATGAGTGGAGTTTTCTAGATGATGTTCAGAAGTTGGAGCGTTTACAACAGGCTGAGGTGGCAACGAGGTGCCCAAGGAGAAGCTTGAACGAAGCAGAGCTTGCGGATATAGTCAACCTGGCTGTATCTGGCCTTGCAGCTCCTCGCAGAAGAGCGATGCCACAAGGTGCGGATGTGGATTGCTCCAGTGAAGCTACAGTCGCTATGGAATCTCGGGGTGCGAATCCTGATCTCCAGCGACGCGTGCGGTCGTTGCTGCTGCATGCCCTCCATGTCTGGCGGATCAACCAGTTTCTAGGACCCAGAGTAGGCCCTTATTCCCTTGTTTAGGGTTCAGGTTCCCTTATAAGCCCCTTTAAGCCAAAAAGGGCACCCTTTTTATTCCTAGGTTACTCTTGGATCTAGGTTTGATTGTCATGTCATCGAGCATGTGCTGGACGTCGTGCAGCAGAAAATCAGCAAATTTGAGGCCCAGGCCGGGGAGATTCGAGATGCGGCTGCCGGGAAGGCTTGGCTGAACATCAAGCAGGCAGTCGACGAGCTGATGCTTCGTGCAGCCGCGCCCGCGAGCTCACCGGTGTCAGGTGCAGAAGACGAAGTCGAGGCTGCTCAGCGCCTCAAGCCTCACAGGGTGAAGCCAAGATTGCAGCGCCAGAGCGGCATCCAAAACATCAACTGGAGTGTGGGGAGGCGCTGCTGGGCTTGCCAATATTTCAGTAACAAGAAGGGGATGAAATGCAAGAACACAATTCGCTACTTTCCTGTTGCCAAGTTCCTCGAGCAGGGTTTTGGTGATGAGGCGGCCGTCGATGCTGCGCTGCAAGAAGCAAAGGCCTACCGCGAAGAGCTGGTTCGACAGGGTAAGTTGAAGCCTCCGAAGCCGAAGATCTACCCAGACTCAATGGTCAGAGGTGTTTACTTCAGCCAAAGCCAGCAGAAGTGGAAGGTGCAGTTGTATCACCCCGTGAAGAGAAAGGTAGTACATGGGGGCTACTTCAGTTCGCAGGATAAGGCCGAGGATAGGGCTCGGGACTTGGCTTCGGAGTTCGGAGTCCAACCCGACATCAAGGTGCTGCCGGGATGACACTCAGCAGATGCGAGACCTTAAGCGACGCTGGGCTTGAAAAGGGTGGCGAACATGGAGTGTCATGGTGCAGGCCTCAGGCGATTGTAAGAACCTGATTAAGAAACCTTGGGCCTTTATTAGGGTTCCTTATATGAATCCTACTATTCTGGGGTTACAGGCCCAGGGTTTCTTAATCATGTTCCTACATTACATCGGAGTCCCCTTCGTATTCATCCTGCACCCCCTAACACCCTAGTCGGCGAAAGTCATGCAATTTTGAAGCTTGAATAGTGATAAATATGAATATTCCTTAAACCCGTATGTTACTATATCTATACTCTTCAATATCCCCAACCCTCTACAATATCCCAACCCCTATTCTAGCTCTTAAACCCTTTCGGGCCGCGCGGCTGGGCTGCCGTGCCTCACCAGCTCGGCATTGTGTAAGGCTTACCTGGCCGTGAACTCTGAAACCCTACTGAAAGGATCATGGGACTTAGGGATCCTTAAAGGGATCTAAAGATTCAAACTCAATACACTACAATATGTTAATTTTAAACAATAGCAAATCGATTAGCATTCAGAGTTCATTATTCTTATCATTTCAATAATTTCTTTTGGGAAACATTCTTCTTATTTCAAATTTTTCTCTTCAATTTCAATCTTCAACCTTTCAACAAGATTTTGCATCGGATTTTTTTATTTCGTTCATCTTGGGTTCCTTCAAGGGATCTATAGGGTTTAGGGTTTAGGGTCTGCTTGGAGGATCATGGGACTTGGTAAGTAAGGTTATAAGTACCCTAAGTGGGGATATACGTAGTTATAAGTACAGCTACATGAATTATAACCCATAGTTACTAAGTCCCATGATCCTTTAAGTAAGTAACCCAACCTTAAGTCACATACCCTAAAACCCTAAAGCCCTACAAACTAAACCACCAGAACCCACCTTTCTGGTAGGTTCGTTATAATACACGTCGATATCGAATTTCTAGGGGCGCTAAAGTAAGTAGGTTTTGGGAGTTCAAAGTAGATTTGGCTTTCCATTTGGTGGAGTTGAAGCATTTCGGGCGAGGAGGCTGCTTTGAACCCCTCAGTGCCTCCATGGTACGCAAGGGTTTAGGTTTCGAGTGTAGGGTTTTCGGTTCCTAAACCATGAACTGTATACCAGCGCAAAACCGTATGAAACTGTAGAGAACTCCAAACCCATACATAACCGTTGTAAAACCCATATACAGCCTAAACCCTGATACGGTTTCTGCTAACCCCCAGAGAAGCTTAAACCTGCATAGGCCTGCAAGAACCTGAGCCGCCTGCTGGAGATTGACCCCAGCATCCAGGACGGCTTCTGTTGCTCGCTTAAAGCCTGCTTACTTAAACGTTTAGGGGGAGTGGCTGTTGTGCTTTTTGCTTGAAATTAGGGCATTAGGGTTTATGGCTTCCGGGTATGGGGGACTGAGCAAGTCTTTCATTGACCACGCCGCATCTCAAGAGAATCGTTGCCTGCGTCGAATCGTTGGAATTACAAAGCGTCGTATTCTATATTAACCCTCGATCCTAAACCCTTATGGTATCCTTATAGACCCCTTAGAGGAACCCTAGGATCCCCTATAGGAGCCCTTAAAAAGGGCACATGGAGCCCTTAGGGTGAGGTCTGGGAATCAGCCGGGAGCCTCGCCTTCCCTCGGTTTTCCTTAAAGCGGAGCTTGAACTTGCCCAAAGGGTTTAGGGTTTAGGGGTTTAGGGTTTAGGGTGTAGGGGTTTAGGGTTTAGGGATATACTTATAGGGCATCTTGGGGGTCGAAGTATATACCATGATGATACTTGGACCCTTTGGGTTGGTGTTAGGTCTTCGCTGCTGACCGCACCCGCACCTCTGCGCACGGTCGTTCTTTTATAGAAGTTTACATAATATGGATGGCATTCGGATTCACGGCAAAGGGAAAGGTCACCAGATTCCTTGCTGGCTTGAAGTCTTGAAGTTTTTCCTTTCGCCTACCAAGCGTTTTCAAGAAGAGTGGCACCAAAGAGTTGGTATCTTGGGGTGGTATCTTGGGGCCCAGTCACCGGTATGCTCTCATATCACACCACCTGCGGAAGCCTTCTTTTTCTGAGTCGGCACCAATGCGCGCGTGCATGTGCGCACGGCCCCAGCTAAAAAGGTACAAAATACAAAAAACATATACAGCCTGAGCTTTCTAAGCCCTGAACCTGCACCTTCTGAGGAACCTGTGTTCTCTGATCCTCTGTGCAGGAAGCTAGGCGTCTCCTGCAGAAAGCCGCCCTGGCCTAAGAGCGCCGGGTTGTCGTCTGCTTCCCCATAAATCCTAAACCCAAAACCCTAAACCCTGAATCCCCAGCCCTGATTTCTGAACCGTACTTCCCCAGAGAGCCCAATATCCCTTAATTAAGGAATATGGCTTAAATTATATAGGGCTTCATATTATGAATTAAGCTATATTCCTTAATTAAGGGGTATTGGGCTCTCTGGGTCCGGGGTTGGATCATCGGCTTGGGGCTTAACGATTTCTTCAAATTAAGGGGTCGTCTAAGCGATCCAGCCTCTGTTTCGGGCTGAAAGGTTTTTCCACGGTTGCAAGGTGGGTTTGGGTGTGTAAGGCCGTCCCTTGAAGGAACCCTATAAATCCCTTAAAGGAACCCTATAGATCCCTCAAAGGAACCCTATAGATCCCTTAAAGGTTGGGGGTTGTTTTCAACAGTAGAATACGGGTCGAAGGTGTATGAATAGTGACCTTCCCGGGCTTACGGATCTCTTGAAGGCATGTCACTTACACCGATAATGATCGTGAAAGCGTATGGAAACCCTCCGAAATGCTCCCTACAGATTGTTCAAACAAAGTCTCAGACTTGTCTGGAGGTCCAACTTCGCAACAACGCTGACAAAAAGCAGCCGGATGCCCCAGCTTGGCCGAGGGTTTAGGGGTTAGGAAGACATAAAGGGTTAATTCGAAATCCTATGCACAAAACCATAATTAAACCCCAACCTCAACTCGAGATCTCCGAAGTTTGAACCCCTTCACCTCTGGCGGTTTAGGGTTCTCGGGTTTCGGCTCCTGACGACCCTCGCTGACAGCCTAAACTTAAACCTGTTTGAAGTTCGCCCTAAACCATAAACCCGAAGGAAAGGCGAAGTCAAGTTCGACCGAATGATCGGCTGTGGCAACGACCTTCGCAGAGTGTGCTGCCCAGTGACGAAAAGGTTGAGGTAAGGGTTTGTTTGCTACACTCGTACAATAGAGGGTTTAGGGTAGTGCGTCGGGGATTGGCTTGCCTGACATTGCTGAGGATTAGTTGTTCTGTGCGTTGTTTTGGGTTTTGCTCCAATCAATTGTCTGCTACCTTTCCATCACCGGTTGACCTGAAGCGTTTGTTGTGAGATTCTGGCGCTCGGGGGGGAAAGTTCCTCTTCGTTGGAGGGTTTGTGCAGGGTTGGTTTGCAGTCCATATACAGTTATATAATAAACCAGTTTTCAGGAATTTGACTTGATTTGCTAGGGTTGTAGCTTGGTTTTGTGCGACGGGTTCTCCGACGCAGCTGATACGAAACACATCCCCGAGAAGCACAACAGACTGCAGAAAATCGTGGATTGACTGAAGCAGCGGCTCCAATGCTCCCAACAACCGAGAGTAATACAATGGGGCATTGTCAATAATTAGAATAGGGTTCCTCTAGAAGGGTTACTATAAGGGTTGCGGTAAGGGTTGCTTTAAGAGCTACTTTCAGGTGACAACGCCCGGTGTGTGGCCGGTGCGTTCTGCTTCGGAGTGCTGATGATGCGCATGGGGGCTGAGGGGGGGGTGCTTTCTTTAACGTTCTTTGTTTCAGCATTGTTTGAGGATATACTTTGTTAGTCCATCATAATGTTGGCGTTGTCAAGGGTGCATGCTGCTGCATGGTGCTGCATGATGTTTGCATGGGGATGGTGGTGCCGGATGATGCTGCTGGATGCTGCTTGCATGGTGTTGGATGCTACTTGCATGGGGCTGTTCGTCCATCCGTTGAATGAGTAGAGGGGCCGTGAAAATTTGACTCGCCGGCTAATCTCCGTTGCAAAACATACCTCCTTTCCTTTGGCATGTTTTCGGTTTAGGATTTATGGTAATGCTACCAAATATACTTTCCCTGCAATTATAAGTTTCGCAAACGCTGGGAGCCAAACGGTGCGTTTTACTGTAGCAATAGCATCATCATCTTTTGTAAAAGGACACTCTTACACGTTTTCGGCCCTTCATGTGCAGCACTTCTCAATCAGGAATATGTGTTTTCCCTGGTTTTTCAGCATGCCTCATTTCGTAGTGGCGCCAAACGCCGGTCACGTACCAGGCGTCGTTACCTACTTTTGGGATTTAACATAAGGGGCCGAAATAATTATAAATACGATTTTGAGGGTACCTTATCATGAAAATAGTATATCGGGCCGCCAAATCCTATTCCAATTATTAGGGACCCTCTATAGGTCCCCCACAGAACCCTTCAAGGAAGCCTCATACAGAGCCTTTAAAGGGAACGATTACTAAGGCCCCTATCTAAACAGCCTTCAGGAGCCGCACTTCAACAGCTGAGAGAGACGGTGCCCACGCCATGCGATGCGCCGGAGTCCTGCGAGCATCCAAAACCTCTACGTAGCCCCACACGGTTTCGGGTTAATGGATTAGGCGCCCAAACCCAAAAAAATACATAAGCCTTAAAACTAAATCCTGAGCTCGTGCGAATGTTTACGGAATGCTGACCCCTAAACCCAACGATTTGGGAATTGGTTGGTTTTGGTTGAGACTTGCTGTCTTGAGTAAAATTTTCGGTGTTCGGCTTTAGTGGTTAAGGTTGCGTGTGCTTCGCCATTTTTTCTCAAACACCAACGACTACTCTCCTAGACACTCCCAAGCACTCCCAACAAACGATGCCTGAACCTCAATCCCAAACGCCCTAAACCACATCGACAGCTCTGGAAGCCAAAGGCTCCATGTGCCTTTATAGTAGATACTTAGGCCTTAAACTA